TGAAGTTGGGTCATAAATGGACGAGATCTTCATCTAAGCTTGACACGCCAACAAAGAGGAGGAGGTATTGTAATTTAGGCTGGTATTATTGGAGGTATCATGTTTGGTCCTTGGAGAGTGTCTGCCGGTATGAAAATATCCGCAGATGCTTATGTAGCTTTCCTCAAAGAGCACTTGGAATCTTGGCTAAAAATGCAATGAATCACCTTCAGGAAAACCATCGTATTCATGAAAGAAAACGCTCCTTCGTATACGGAGTGCCTGCAGAAATTAGACTTTTGTTGACCTCGGAAGATAAACTGGCAGGTTAGCTCTCCAGATTTAAACCCAAATGAAAACTATTTGAGCATTCTGAAGCGACGTGTTTATGAGAATGGAAGCCAATTTAGAGGCAACGGTGACTTGTGGTAGTAAATTGTCAACGTATCACGTGAAATTACCTCAGAGGATCCAGAAATTGACATGTTCGACCAACGGCTTTTCCATATCATTTTAAAAAAAGATCACATATCTCATATTAACCAAATCCACTATCCTTTTTGAACTCTGATTGCTTTTTTATTTCGATTTAATTTCATCTTAGTTATTGTATGCATTCATTAAAATCTGTAAATGAAGCAATTAAAGTGCTATTCTCTTTGTTTAGAGGTTTTTTTTTTATTACACCTCACTAATAATTTGTCACACTAATAATTTAAGTAAATAAGGTAAATGGCAGTATCTTCTGTTCCTTTTTCTAGAAATGTATACTTTTTATAGAGTAGGTGTATATGTATATACATGTTGTCATCATTCTCTGATAATTTCGTTAAATTCAACCAGTAGTTTTTGGAATGGATGGAAAAGTGTCACTTCGTTAATAATTTGAAACTCGTTATATATATATATATATATATATATATATATATATATATATATATATATATATGTACGGTGTGTGTGTGTGTGTATCTGTGTATTTAGACAGCAATCCTTATTTCATGCACATTTCATTGAATACGACAGACAAGGTGCTTTTATTTAGTTTTTTATACAATTTCTCATGAGATTTAATGATTTTTTTCTTTTCAGATGATGAATTATATAAAAACTGTCCGAATGTTCTTTTTATCCGAGCGATTTTGGCTATACATTTAGCCATATTCAAGGATTAAATATTTTAACTGTTAAATAAGAAATAGTTTGTTGCATGTATGTTTTATAAAATGTTTTCGTTTTTCAAAACACGGTTAAGATATTGTGTGCATGTTCATAGTTAATATTATTAATTGTTGTTGTTTTTTTTTTATTAATAAGGCTTCCATTATTCTTAGCCTTTTTTTTGCATGTAGATGATGCTATTATATTAGTATTGTCAACAAGTATGTTACGAATAGTGTCCGGTAGGTTTCCATGAATATTTAAATGAGATCTAACTGAGCTATAGTCAGAAAGGTGTAGAGTGAGCCTGCGTGTCAGGCATGTTGTAGTGTCGCCTATATAATTATTTACGAACATATATATATATATATATATATATATATATATATATATATATATATATATATATATATATATTGTTATCTACAAACAGACTGTTTTCGCAATATCAAAGCTCATCAGTGTGGCAAGACGTCCGGCTGTCTCTAGCTAGGATTGAAACCTGGTTGAACTGTCGTCGGAGTCGGAGAATATATATATATATATATATATATATATATATATATATATATATATATATATATGGGGTGCACGGTGGAGTAATGGATAGCTTAAAGTTTTAAGCTAGATTAAAAGCCGCCTTCTCAGGCGGCATTAAACTAGCTCCTGTTGAGAACTCTTGGTCTTGGTATGGCCATCATCACAATAGCTAAGGAGAGTAGATGCGATAGTCATCAATAAACTACAGACGAACACAAAATTGATTGCTGCATTTCAGTATTGAATTTATGTTTAAGTTTACCTTTTGGAAGTTCTGCTGCCTCTTTATTTAAAAACGATTTGATGTACGTAGATCATTATTTTCCGTACAAACAATTATATTTATTTCATTGGTGACAAGAGACAAGTTATGAGATAAAATTAATATAATGTAAAAATGGGAGAATAGAAATTAGAATTGAAGAGTTAGAGAAACATAATAACTAATTAAGTAAAACGTATATTATAGAATCTATATGAATAAACGCGAAAATAGATCGTTTTCCCACGAATTCTGAGATTGAGAAGACCCAGCTCGACTTTATAGTAATTTGGTATTTACTCGACACCCACACCACCACCACGAAGTCGCTTTGTGACACAATTTTAATGTGGGGATCCCGAGCGCATACACCCGGGCTAGGAATAAATTTCCCGAGCCCTCGCAAATTGAATGCACTCTGCACAAAGACAAAGATGGAACTGAGAGATGATAAATAAATTTGTTACAAACCACTCAAGAGAGATTAATTTGTATTTAATCAACCCCCCAGGTTGTGACACAAAGAAGGTTTAATGTAGGGAGCTCGAGTGCATACACCCGGGCTAGGAACAAAAATTCCCGAACTCACGCAACTGTCGGTTCCGTTGGCCTCGGTGCGTGAACCGACGACTATCTCTAGTTCAATGACAGGGCGCGGCCTCAGGCAGCTCTTCCACAAGGCCGGCACCTCTCAGTATAATTTTCCTCAGTTGCGACTCTGTTTTTTGATGGAGTCGCCCCTGAGTTCTTTCTGCCCAAGGATAGAGACGCAAATGAGAAATGATAAATAAACCTGTTACAAACCACTCAAACGCGAGGTTTTGTATTTACGTGAGAACAACCGAGACAGGTTGTGACACAAGGTAATTTTTTAACGTGGGGACCCGAGTGTCTTCACTCGAGCCGCTGGTCTTAGCTGGTCATAGCTTGTCTTAGCTGGTCTGACCTGGTCTAAACTAGTCATAGCTGGTCTTAGTTGGTCATAACTGGTCCAAGCTGGTAAGAGTCGGCCAAACTAGTCATAGCTGAGATACTACCAGCCCAGGGACAGATCATTGTGCCCGGCACGTATCAAGTCTTAGCTGGTCATAGCTTGTCCAAGCTGATCAGAGATGGTCTAAGTTAGTCATAGCTGGTCATAGCTGGTCCAAACGAGAGGTTTTGTATTTACGTGACCAAACCCACAACGGCTCAGGTTGTGACACAAGGTCATTTTTTAACGTGAAACTCGTGTGTCTTCACTCGGGCCGCTGGTCTTGGCTTGTCCAAGCTGGTCAGAGCCGGTCCAAGCTACTCATAGCTGTGATACTACCAGCGAAGGAACGGATCCTTGTACTCGGCAACAATCCGAATGTGTATACACGGCCAAGGAGAGGTTTACACACTATGTATTTAATCTGTCTCGCCATTAAGATGAGTTGTGACACAAGGTCTTTTTTAAGATGGGGACTCGAGCGCGTATACTCGGGCTAGGAACAAAAATTGCCCGCAACTCCCGCAACAGTCGGATGCGAACACCGATCCCTCTGTGCAATGAGAGTGCGCGGCCTCAGGCAGCTCTTCCCCAGGGCTGGGAACCCCTCAGTATGATTTTTTGTTGTTGCAACTTTGTCCTTTAACGGAATCGCGCACAAGTGCACTCTGCCCAAAGACAGAAACGCAACTGAGAGATGATATATAGATGAGTTACAAACCCCTGAAAGGAGGGGTTTACACATTATGTATTTACTCTGTCTCACCATTAAGACGAGTTGTGACACAAGGTCTTTTTTTTTAAGGTGGGGACTCGAGTGCGTACACCTAGGCAATGAACTGAAATTGCCCGTAGCCCCCGCAACCGATCCCTCACTCTGGTGCAATGAGAGGGTGCAGCCCGGGCAGATGTTCCCCAGGACTGGGCACCTCTCAATCGTTTGATGGAGTCGCCCCTGAGAGCACACTGATCAAGGAGAGAGACGCGACTGAGAGATGATAAATAAACATGTTACAAACCAATCAAACGAGAGGTTTTGTATTTACGTGCCCCCCCCCACACACACACCGAGACAGTTTGTGACACAAGGTTATTTTTTAACGTGGGGGATTCGAGAGTCTTCCCTCGGGCCGCTGAACTTAGCTGGTCATGGCTTGTCCAAACTGGTCAGAGCTGGTCTAAGCTAGTCATAGCTGTGATACTGCCAACACAGGGACGGATCCCTGTGACAGGAAAGTATCAGACTGTGTATACTTCTCAAGAGAATGGGTTGATACACTAAAACTCAATATACGTATTATATATTATCTGTTTCCAGACAATATCACTCTTCAGGTTGAATTAATTTGCGTATTAATTAAAAAAAACAAAAAAAAATCTGTCATGTTACATGACTTTCAAATATATATATATATATATATATATATATATATATATATATATATATATTGCTTGGAAGTAAAGTATGATGATCCGCAGTCCTTAAAAGGGCTGTGGTGAAATAATTTATTACATGGAACCATAAAGTGGTCTGTTTTTATTTAAATTATTCGCTCTGGATTTACATTGAGCTCTCTGGATTTTATCCTCCTTAGGTTTACCCATACGGATTACCTAGTTTTTCATAAACTATATATATATATATATATATGTGTGTGTGTGTGTGTGTGTGCATATATATATATGTGCACAAATATCTATGTAACTTAGAATATATGTGTATATTTATATATATTTATATATTCATATACATATATATATTCATATATATGTATATGCATGTCAGTATATATCTATATATGTGAGTGTATTTGCATATATATATGTATCTAGTTGTGTATATATATAAATGTGTATATATATAAGTGTGTGCATATATATATGTACATATATCTATATATATCTATATATATATGCATATGTATATATATATATATATATGTATGTATTATATATGCGCGCGCGTGTGTGTGGGGGGGTGTATTTAGTTAAATTTTCCGGACATGATTCAGAAAAATCTGACAAATTAGTTTAAAAAATAATTTTTCTAATTGTCATTTTTATACAAATTTCACTTACTTTCAGAATAATTTCTGGGAAATTTACCTATGATATCGACAAGGAAAACAAAAAAAAAAAAGCAAAAAACAAGAACAAATAAACAACTCTTAGTCTAATGGAATTTGCGAATACCAATAACCAGTATGAGGAGCGTCTCTTTTTTTAATTTTTGGATTTGATGTAAGTATGGTATACTAAACAGTTTGCTTTCGTTGCTTGTCGGTAGACGTAAAGCGTCGGTAAGAACTAATTGTATATATATATATATATATATATATATATATATATATATATATATATATATATATATATATATATATACACAATTAGTTCTTAAACCCAGGGTATATATATATACATACACACACAATTAGTCAGAAACTCACATCAATCCAACCAAATCACGCTCTTGCGATCATCAGACAAACTGATTAATTTTTCAAAATTTTGGATTATGTCGGTTGCGTGTATTGGTGTTATTGTGGAAGTGGGAGGGAAATGGTCGTCGTGATGTCACTCATGTTAACGCAAACCTATATATGCATGTTCGTACACCCATTGAGGTACGCAGACACACATACACATGCGCTCACCCGCCGGAGCTCACACAAACATAAAAACATATGTGGACAGTATGGGACTTAACATATGTTTGTATATGTGTGCTGTTGTCTACATACATACGTATTTGATTGTTGAATTTCAAAGATCGGATGCGTATCTATTTAGACATGTCAACAAACAGACCATTTCTCTATTCTTTCGCTGGATAATATTTCCTCGCACGCATGTATATAGGTGGGGTGGGTTCTGTGTAAAATTATGATAGGTAAAAAAGAAAAAAAAATCAGTTTGTCTGACGATCACAAGAGCGTGAAACCCAGGGTCACAAACTCACATCTATCCAACCAAATATGTTAGCTCTATCTCTGATATTGAGCGCTTTCTAATAAGCACCGCGTATATAATATACATGTCAATTCACGTTTGCTAATATCTAGTTACTTGATATATCCACATTCATACCTATATATATATATATATATATATATATATATATATATATATATATATACAGATTTAAATATATACATTTTTTGCTTGTATTCATATAAGATAAAAATGTTGGTGCAATGTTGTCCAGTGTAGACTTAAATGTATTTTATTTATTCAGTTAGTGTTATTATTAACATTTTAATTGCTTTAATTGTTCCTCCGAAATGAACGGCAGGACAATCGTAAAGCTTTTCACAAAATGAACTAACTAATGGTGTTGTTATGCTGATGGGCGGTGTGCCAGAGGCAGTAACATTTAAATCTAACTTACCTAAATATTCATGTGATGAATTAACTGCGTGACCAACGAAAAGAGTGAGAGAGAGAGAGAGAGACAGAGACAGAGACAGAGACAGAGACAGAGAGAGCGTAGGGGGGAGAGGGAGAGACACAAAAAAAGGAAATAGAATAGTGTGTGTGTGTGTGTGTGTGTGTGTGTGTGTGTGTGTGTGTGTGTGTGTGTGTGATATACAAATAGTGAGTGAGAGAAGGAACTACGTCCGGCCTATTCACTTTTTGGAATTACAAGAACTTAATGGTGTGCTTACCGGAAGGTGGCTATTGTCTTGTTGGCACTATCTTTGAGCTGCTCTAATTCCAAAGTCTTTTATTCGCCAATTTCAAGGTTTTCACGGTCAAACCATTCTGCCATTTCAAGATCAGACGCCACACGTAGGACATCATTAAATTTGCTTTGATTAAAAGTCACGACTGTAAAACGATTGTCTTGGCAGTTGGAAATATCAAACCACAGAAAATAAAATAGATATATGGATGACACATTCGCAGTGCAAGTACGAGTAGTTGCTGAAAAGGTTTTATATTTCCAACAAGAAGGGATTAAAAATATGATGTTTGGTTATTTGACTAGGAACTGGGGAGGTGAGAATTAGTTTTTAACGATATTATTATCATGATGAACTATCAACATAAGTTATATTTAAAATATTCTTTTTAGATAAAGCACTGTTATCATTATTAACAGTCGGAAATAATCGATCTGAGTGTTTTGATAAAAATTGACAAAAATAAGGTGGAGAGTGACTAGTAAAAACGGAATAATTTATTAGTTGGAAATAATCATCTTTGAAGCACGTAACATAACCTTAAATCGTCACACATTTTACTTGATGCTTAACAAAATGATTTCGTGATTATTTTGATCTAATACTCTAACACTTTCGCGCCAGCCCCTCAACCTCCGACATCTTACTTTCTGGGTTGAGGTGTCTATTCGGTCCTAATCGAACTTAAGGGAGTGGCCATAGGTCCCCTGAGCATCCGTAGATTATTCGACCGGTCCGCTGTTTTCATCCTACTTCCTGCCCACGTTGTGATTTGTTTGATCCAGAAAGCAGAAGGGATGTCCGTCTATTCACGGTCGACTGAAGATGTAGACAGGGCTGAAGAGTGTGCGCTAAGAAACTTAGAATGCAGCAAAAAAAAAAAAAAAAAAAAAATAATATCTGGAGAAAGCCGGACAGACATCGATTCAGTGGTTGAATTGTTAGTGTCTTTTATATAGCAGAAAAGAATAGTAAAAAAAAAATCATACACTGGATGAGAGAGAGAAAGAGAGAGAGAGAGAGAGAGAGAGAGAGAGAGAGAGACTATGTGATTATCTTGTTAAATCGCCTTAGAACGATATATGACTCTTGCGATGGAGGGATAAAGATTTCTGTGCGGGGCTTAAAGTTATAGTGACGTTCCTCCTCCCAATGCTCACCCGGGCCAATTCTCTCTTCTCTCTTCAAGAATTTTCTCCATTCTGCCTTTTTCAGCATAACTACGCATTTATATAGATAAACCCGGCTGATTATAACTGACCCTCGGCCCTACTACTTCGCACGCGATTATCACGGGGTTCTGGCTGCTTTAAGCAAAATCATGTGAATTCCAAAGTTCCTTCTAGTTTACTTAGCTCTATTTCAATTTTTAATCGATAAAAATTATTTCGACAATTTCCATTGTCTCCTGATGACCCAGATTCAATGGGTATACAACTTCTGCACTAGATCAGATTTTCCCATCAGTAAACAAAATGCTCTGATTTAATTTTGCTATTCAAATCTACTCCAATTTCACTAAAAAAAAATATACGTTTGTGTGTGTGTGTGTGTGTTTCCCAGACTCTCTCTCTGTCACATTTCCTCCCCTACCCATCTGTCATTTACTAGTAAATGACATACGAGCTTTCATATCAACAAAATATGAGAAAACTCAGTCCAACATGCTTCTTACTAGGGGGCTACTTAAACATACGTCTCTTCCAGCATGCAAAGGTAGAGTCCTCAGTGCTTCTTAGGGCTCATGATGCCCATTTACATTTTCATTGTCCTCACGATACATATGTACATGCAACCCCCGGTTAAAGTTCACTGTTTTGTTGATCTCGTGAAATAGAACCTTTTCACATAGTTCACTAGTTCGAGGGTTCTTTCCTTTTTTTTTTCTTTTGAAGTTCGTAACACTCCTTACCAATTATTTCAGTCTCATTACTAAAAATAAAAAATAAAAAAAATTGATTTATTTCGTACATTTGTCCCTCCGATTTTGTCTCGCCTTCACAACAGGCTTTGTCGAATCTGCTTTGTCGAATCTTTTGTTGGTTCAGGTCCTTCCACTACAATCGTGGACTCTTCTTCAATATCATTTAGTGGTCCCAATGCACTCGGGTCGGACCTACCTTGGTAAAGTGCACTAACTGGAATCCCTCCTTCACTCATGCACTCCCGTGCCAGTTTATTCTGCCCGGTCGACAACACCGCACGCCTCTTCAACCACCACCAAACCAGCAAGGCCACGACTATCATTAGTATAATTCCCACAACGGTCGGCCTGGTTATTATAGCAACCAAATTCTCTCTCCAGCCCGAATTCGGCATAACTATCCTAACTAACTCCGACTTCAACCGTCCAAGATCAATCTTATCGATTGGCTTTAATAACGCCGGCATCTTTTCTAGCAACATCTTAGGAATCTCTTTTTACAATGGGTTCCCACAATCCCGTCCATCCACTGGTATTCGTTCCTACCAGCTCTAACAAAGCCTCGTTCTCTTCAAACTTCTCTTCTACTTGGTAGTAGTGAGGGAAAGAGATAGATGGACCATGAGCTCCACAACCAATGGGTAGCTCTACAAAAAATAAAGGGGGAATAACTCTTATCATTGTGGTGGGCTTCCTTCACACACCTTAGACAATTGATCGCTTCTTTTGTGCGGCCACCGCCCAAATTCCGTCAGAGACACTGGTTGCTTTAGGTAACATTACACTAGCCAACTCCTGTACCTGACAATGATCTCTAATTCCCTTCTTATTTTTCTTAAATAAATCTAGTACACACAGATTATGATTACATGTTACGTAAATTGGACTTACAGACCCACAGGTACCTAAGGCATGATTCTTGTATTTTTCTGCTTCTCCCTTTGTTAATAGCATAAACTCTGTCCTGGCTAGATTTAGGGCAACAAATTCCGTCTCTCCCTTGTACCTAGCCACCGCTCCTATCTTCGGCCTTAGTTTTGGATAGGGAAGGGGAAGATTCATCATCTGATAAATTTCAAAGGTACTCTCTCTGTCCAGTAATGGAACCGACACTAGTACTAGCAATTTATCATCTTCCAACAAGGGAGTACATCCCAATGCACTATAATACCTCCATAACTGCTGGGTGGGGTCTACAGGTAATCTAAGATGATGGTGGAGTTTGGCTTGCATCTTCAGTAGTACTTCTCTAAATCGTTCTGGAGTTATTATACTCGGAGACAGGTGTCCCAGCGACAGCATGTCTAATTGTGCTCTCACATGCTCTAACAACACCGTTAAAGAGTGACTTGTTTGACGTACCTTACTCATTATAGCTAATAATTAAAAATACCTTTGCAAAAAGAACCTCTAATTTCTGTAATTCGGTTGTTACAGACGTAGTTACATTTATCAGTTCGTTTCTAAAAAAAACCTTTAGGTGAGAAATCAGCCAATTAATACTCACTCTATTCTTAGCCAATTCCAGCTTAGTAACATTGAGTATAGATACGCTCTCTCTAACCGACTGAGCTATTGCTTGTTGTCTCTGTTCTATCACCTTTAATTTCCTCTTAATTACTCTCACTTCGCCTCCTGAGACTGTACCAAACAACACGCTTAATGCCTTTCCCATTATAGGTAATACTGCCCTCTTTTGCCTGGTCCGTAACAACTATATTCCTTTCAAATAATATCTCATATCTTTCCATTGTCTCTCAAGTATTAGAGATTCCTGAGCTAAGGGGTATAATATACGGTGGTATTCCGGAGTCTGTAAATAGTCTCTGGCGAGTTGTGTCCTGGCTGTATCTAGTTTGTCCACTTCGGTCTTCAACTGACCCAGTAACTTCTCATACAGCTGCAGGCCTATCACCAAAGTTATCAACTACTTTGATCTAGTTATAATCACTTCACTAGTCTTCTTAAATACAGTATTCTCACTGTGTTCCCAGGTATTAGCTACCACAACTAGCATCGTCATGGAGAGAATAATTCGTCTTACTCAATCATTCTCTTATTGTTTTTATCGGGTTGTTATATCTTAGAGCGATACCTCAAGCACCGACACACACCACCACCAGCGCCGTGCATGCATGGGGGCCGTCCACACAGTTCACCAGCACCAATGATAAATGTACAGTTAGTCTCAGACCGTCACTCTATCACCACAGCCACTGTACTTGTTTCACTTAATCTTTGGGCTCGGGCTGAACCGCCCCACATTGATCGCAGTTTTAGTGGTAATTCCTCATTAACACTAGGTGCTTTTTCAGCCCGCAATTTACTCTGCAATTGTGCTAACGGAATTTCATCTTCTTCCCATTCACTCAGTTCTTCTTCTTCCCTAAGTTTAGTTTCAATCCCTGCTTCCCCAGAATGTCCCGCTGGGGTCCGATATACCTTCCTCGGCCTTCGAAGGGTAGTTGGGCTAATTTCAATCTCCTCACTCCCTTAACTTTCACTCTCAGTCTCTAAACCTTCGGGTTCTACCAACGTAGATTTCCTCAGCCTTTTCTGGTGAGTTTTTGTTTCGGCTCCTTTGCATTCTCCTATTTCAGCCAGGTTTATATCATTCACATGCACTCTCTTTACCTGTCCGGTCAATTGGTCCCAGATCACAAAGGAAACCGGACCCGTCTGCTCCACGATCCTATAGTATGGACTCCATCTCTGGTCCAATTTACCTTCTCTCAGGTGTATTTTATAATACACTGGACCACCTATCTGGAAGGAAACTTCTCTATTTTTATTTACCCTATCGTTTCGCCTTTTCTGGGCTCTTTGAATCCTCCTCCTCACCTGTGTAAATATTTTATGCTGTTGTTCTAAAACTATTTGGTGATGATCCTCTCCTAAATACTTCCTCCTAGGTCATAACAGATTGTCTATAGGTAAGACTACATCCCTGCCATATATCAAGTAATACAGGGAAAATTTTGTCGTCTCTTTCATCAAGAATCTCACAGCTGCTAACGCTTGGGTTACGAATAAATCCCAATTTTCCCTATTATCCTCTGTTAGTTTCGTGAACACATCAGCGAGGGTCTTATGAAATCTCTCTACTTTAGCGTTACTTTGGGGGTGATATGGAGAGGTGGTTATGTACTGTATGTTTAGTTCACGCAACTTCTCTTTCATAATCTGATTCACATTCTCTGATCCATTATCGGTAACCAGCTGTTCGGGGGCCCCATACCTAGGGAATATTTCGTTCAGTATTATATCTGACAACGTTCGTGCCTTCTTATCCGGTATGGCAAATGCCTCAGGCCAATTCGTCAGCCAGTCCACAAAACTCACTATATAAAGATTATCTCTATGTGTTTCTCCATAGGGTCCGGAAATATCCATGCTTACTTTCTGAAATGGATAATTCGGAACATCCCTTTCTAATATTGGGGCAACTCTACTCTTTCGACTCTGTACTTGGCATGATACACATTTTTTACATGGTTCACAACATCATTAAACAACTTAGGCCAGTAGTAATTTCTCATTATTAATCCATACATCTTATCAATTTCCAGGTGTCCTAACCTCCTATGGAATTTTAAAACTTACTTCCTCATCTCTTCCTGAAAGGTAATACAGCACTCCATTGTGCACCATACGCCCTGCCTCTACCCTGGATCTGATAGTTTCTATCTCGCTATCCTCTTGGTTTTGCCTAATAATGTCTCTCCAGTGGGGGTTGGAAACAACCATGTCTCTCTTTCAATGCCTGTGAATTGATCACATTAATTTGGAATGCTTTATCATCCACACCCGATTCCAACCTGACAGATTCGTTTTCTAATTGCCTCGGAATCCTCGATAACAGGTCAGCACAGGTATTATCCTTCCCTGCCAAATATTCTATTCTGCAGTTATATCCACTTAACTTCAATGCCCACTGTTGTATTTTCTTATTCATCCACTCCGCCTTTAACAGACATTTGAGGGGTTGGTGGTCTGTAATAATTGTAAAAACAGCCCCACTCAAATAATCAAATTTCTGCACAGCATACAGAATGGCAAACACCTCTTTTTCTATTACTGGCCACCTTTGCTGAGTCTAGGAGAGCCGATGAGACAGAAAATAGATCGGCACTTCCTCAGGCACACCCGGTACTAGTCCATCCTTATCAGGACATGGTTGTGTAAGAACAGCCCCGATGCACTTATCGCTAGCATCGGTGTACAGCACCGTAGGCTTACTCGGGTCTAGGTAGGCCAACTTCCTGTCAGCTGGTCCTTTAGAGCCTCGAATGCACGCTGACAATCCTCTGTTCACTTAAACCTAGCATGCTTTTTAGAGCTATTTGAGGGCCTGCTAGACGACTAAATGCTGGTATGAACCTCCGATAATATCCGATGGCTCCAATAAATTCCCTAATCTCTCTTACGGCCTTCGGCACGGGCCTGGCTCTCATAAACTCTACTTTGTCTAAATCTGTTTTTATTCCTTCTTTGTTTATGATAAACCCTAAGTACTTTGTCTCTTCTTTCATAAACTGACACTTCGATAATTTTAACTTTAATCCATTTTCTCTTAACCTATCGAACACCTTCTGCAGATGTTCAAAATCCTTCTCCGGTGAATTTGAAAGCACCATGATGTCATCTAGATATGCCATGGCAAATGCCTCAGTGCCATTCAATACGATGGACCTTAACTGACTATATACAACCGGGGCGTTTTCTAGTACAAACGGCATAACTCTAAAATTGAAAAGACCCATGTGGGAGGTAAAAGCGGTCTTTTCCTGATCCTTTTTGCTAAGTGCTACCTGCCAATATCCGACCTCAGATCCAAGGTGGAAAAACATTTAGACTTTCCTAAAAGTGCTAGAATATCATCAATCAAGTGAGGGACACTGCCAGCAGTTTAGTAATAGCATTTAATTGACGAAAAAGCACACAAAACCTATGCCCTCCATCCTTCTTTTCAAAGATCACTATTGGAAAACTCCAGGGAGATTTGGATCTTTCGATTATCCCTGATTCCATCATTTCATTCACTACGTCCTCTACTAATTTTCTTTTGTGGATTGGGGTCCTATACGGTCTTAACTTAATAGGTGGGTGATTACCCGTGTCTATATTCATTTCAACTGTCTCCGTCTGTACCAGTTCCTTATCCGTAATGGCTATTACCTCCCGAGTACTATTCAGCAACCCCCTCAATTTCCTCCTATAACGTTCAGGAGCTGTTATATCTTCATCCCTTATTTCATCGCTACCTGTCTTATTCCCAGGCCTATTCTCATTCCATACTCTCACCTGTTCGACTTCTCTCACTGGGCACGCCTGTGCCAGCACCTATCCCTGCTTTATTTTAATAGTTTTATTGGCAGTATTGGTTAACAGTAAGGGAACGGTCCCCGACCTCTTCACCAACGAATCACACACGGTTATTTCCCCTTCACTGTTATCATACCTACCAGTAGGGACCACTTGGTACAGGTCACTGTTCAGCTCTCCTTCTGTTATAACCTTGTCCTTCCCAGATACAGTAGTCCTAGGGGGAAGCTTTATATCTGTCTGTCCCACCACTGGCAATTGTTCATAATTATTCTCTCCCAACAGTATCCCTACCCCGTCCAATGTTAGGGTGGCGGGGTCAAAACGGGTCTGTGCCTTATTCTGCCTAAAGCCAGTCACTCTCCAAAATTAGCTCACCACACAAGTCAGGTGCCACATAAACCTTACGTTTACCTCTGGTTCTTGCCAACTGGAAAGGTAGCCACGTCATACCCTCTATCTTCATCCTGATACTATCTGCCTGACTTATTAGTAGATCGACGGGACTAGGCTTCGTTTTTCAGTCCAGTATCGACAAGGGCCTTCACTTTCTTGTCTCCCAGCAACACATTACAGGTGAAGTCTGGCCATTCCTTCAGCAAACGGTATACCTGTTCCTTTCTCCTTCCCGTATTTTTTCTCCCTTCCTCCCGCTTTCACGACAACCGAGACGTAGGAATCGGTGACAGGAGTTCATCTTTTTCTAGGGGCTCCAATTTCTGCCTAGGGACCCTCCTGTGTGGGGTAGAGCTCGGATGACTCTCTTTTCTCGGACTAGCAACCCATTTCTCCCCCCCTTTGAATTAGGTTTGTTCCGTACGGTGTGATCCATCTGTCTCCTGTGAGGACAAGTTCGTCACAGGTAACCCGCATCTCCAACACCTTCGCTCCTTACAACTGGCCGAAAAGTGCCCGACCACACCACATATCCAGCATCTCAGAGTTCTTACTTGTACTGAGGCCACCCCGCCTCTTACTTTTTCACGGGTGACCCATCGGCGTTTTCCGGAACCTTTTCCTTCTCGGTAGGGGGGCACCAGCGTATTAACTCGCTTTATCCCCAGTTTACGTTCTTCCTCTGCCGTACACCACCGAGCCTTCTGCCCGAACTCGCCACAAGTCGTTCAGTTTGGCCCCAAAAACCTTGGCTAACCGGTTCCCCCTTCAGAACATCGCCCCTCAGGTCCCTGTCACTCAGCGCATCCACATACACATCGGCCAACAAGGCTTGAATAGGACCACTGTACCCCGTCGCCAACTTCGGAAAAGCTAACGCCGCTAGCCCCGCGATTCTTTCCTCCAATTCCTCATTAGTCTTTCCTTCTTGTTGCTGTAGCCGGAATAATTTCCTGACTGTCTCAATGGCAGAACGCTCACTTGTGTATTGCCGCAACAGAGCGGATTTAAGCTCGGTCCACGTCAGGGCCGGGTTTTCTTTGTACCACGCCCTATGAACTGCCCCGCTGCGGTATCGTAAACTAGAAGCACCATTTCTTGGTCCGAGAGGCCATAGATCACCTGCTTCTTCTGAATGGACATAATCCATTCGTGCAGGTCCGCAGGGTTTCTTTTATACCTAGGTAGCGTCATGCTACCTATCAGCCTCCTGAAACCCATCGATATTTCGGGGACTACGTCCCCAAGGTCATCTGTGGCGTTTGATCCTGATACGCTCATCCTAGCGTCTTTTCAGCTACCACTTTCCCACGAGAAGAGAGATCAACGACAGAACGAAAGGAAAAATACTTAACACGGTGGTGGCGCTTCAACTGCATACAAAGTTGATAAAGTCAAAACAAGATCAACAATATTACTGGCAGATCTAAGTGCAATGAACGAACAAAGGAAACCAAAAAGTGACTTACCTGAGGTCCGCCGCTCCGTGTTTTGTTTCTTTTTCCTCCTTCTTTTGCTTCCTTCTCTTTTCCCCCTTATGTCTCTTTCAGATCAATATAGTCCGAAGACCTTTCTGGTCTTACTCAGTCCCGACTGGACAAAACAAATGCAACCTTCTCTCCTCTTTAAGACGGCCGTGGTAATTCCCACGGTTCTATCCTGGTTACCATGGCACCAGTCTAATACTTTCGCCTCGGGCCCTCAACCCCGAGAGTAAGACGCCGGAGGTTGAGGGGCTGGGGCGAAAATGTTATAATACCTACTGTATTTATTTATATTTCTAAAAAAAATCCAATGACAACTTCCTGTAACTCTGTGAACGTAGATTATTGAAAAGGGCTTTCAGAAACATTCATATATGTGCATTATGTTTCTAATTCTGCGAGTTTGTTAGTAAATACTGTTGTTACGTGGATCTATTGCTAATTATTTCTTTGAAGTGTATGGCATATATGAATTAATTCATGCTTTTGAATATCAGATTTAGAAATTGAGTGTTTCCAACGTTGTAGACTGCAAACACTTTTTTTCTTTACTAGGAGAAGAAAAAATTCTTAATTCTTAAACTCCAAATATAGGTAAGTAGTAGGACAGTCTAGGCTTTGTATCCATGGTTGGCAATGAGACAAAAAGAAAGACAACTCTGAATTCAGTTCTGGCAACTCCTGAGGCGACGTTGGCAACAAGCTATATCTGCCTTTCCTTTGGAGGGGACAATGCTGTAGGGACAACTGACGATTTTTCATGAAGAAATCCTGCCCAGCGCAGATCCATGGTCTCTCTAAACCGATAAATGCCACACACACACACACACATATATATATATATGTATGTGTGTGTGTGTTACTGAATGAACTTTCAAAAGCATCAGCTCTCAATTCCTCGCTCTAAAAAGAAAATAAATAAAAAAGTCAACAAAAAAATAGCTACCTAATTAAGAACAGGTTTTTTTTTATAGAAAATTGAGTGAAAGATTATTAATAGAAATTATCCGATTTCAAACTTTGTATGTGTCACTACAAAACCAGAAAATGTATGCACACCTACTCAGACACATATGAATAATTACAATGTTTATTAAATCAATTCTTGTACGTTTAACAAGATCATTTACCATTTTGGATTTTGGCGAAGCAGTAGATGAATTAAATCTTGAAATGTGCAAGTAAAACAAAGAATACGGTGCTTTTTGCGCTAATTCCTTTAATTGAACAATTCTGATTCATTTCCAGAGTTCGGCATTTCTCCCCTCTTTACCCTCTTTATAGAGGTATAACATTATAAACACTTTTCGTAGCAGCAAACTAAATCCATATGTATACTTGTTCATCATTATTCCTAATAAAACCATTGGCGTATTCAAATATTGTTTCATGATACAAGGATATATGAATATTTGAGTTGGTCATGATTAAAGCAATAAAATCTCAAAACAGTTTCTATTTCAACTATCGCTGTGTTTCATTTAGAAAGAAAAAATACATGTAGTAGTGTTGCTGCTGTTTTCGCTGCTACTGCTAATGATGATGGAAAAAGTGAATGTCAAATATTCAAAGTGAAATTTCGATGTAAAAAGAATTCAGATATTGTATGTATTGATTGCTAAATTAATGTCAAGGGTTGATATATAATGTAAAATATTAGTATGACTTACGTGGTAAATCATTCTGGAGTTCGTACTTTTGTAGATTATGCAAAGAGGTATTGTTCATGAATGACTACGCCATATGGAAGATATAGCATAACTTTACTTTCTCTAATTACTGAGAAATTTACCTTATACGGACTATTGCCCTCATATTTGTCGCTATATTTATTACAACGTTTCGGTCGTTGTACTCTCCGGCCTTCTTCAAGTGGTTTGAATGTCGAACTGAACCCTTTATTTCGCTCTAGTTCCACGTGCCATGTTAAATGGGTGTCAGTTATCAGTTATCTTCTGTTAATTCCCCTCTCCAAGTTGACCATCGCTTAAACAGGTATTGAACTTACACTCTTTGGGTCCTGTCACTGGATCTAAACAACGCCTTTATACACTGTGTCATGTGTCATTGAGGACATCTTTGTATAGATTTCTGGGTATTATAAAAGTAATGTCTTCAGCATTCATTTTTTACCAGTGCTCATATTGCAATTTTTGCTGTTATCATTTGATGTTTTTACCAGAGCTCATATTGCAATTTTTGTTGTTATTATCACTTTTCTCTGGCACTCCTTATTACTGGTTCCCATATTATATTCATTTCTATGCTTGGTCGGCTCAGGAGATTTTTGTGGCCTTGCATATGTGCTGATTCCTTAAGTTTACGATTTTTTTCAATGGTGTTCTTTGTCTATGATCTCAACCTGATCCCACAGAGGGCGGTGATCTCCCTTTTCACTCCATATGTGGTCAGCCACGCCTGATTTTTCCACTTCCCATCGTGTTACAGCTTTCTGGTGTTCTTGAAGCCTTACCTTAAAGCCTGTATATAAAGCTTTATATATACACCCTAAATCAAATCATCCCTATCTATAATTAAGCATATACCGTTATCTATCAGTAAAAGAATAAGTACAAATTCAGCAAATGACAAGATTTTCGATGAGCATATCAATTCCTATAATAAAGCTCTAAAAGAGAGTGGCTACAAAAACCCAAAATTAACTTATATAAAAAATGAAAATGGAAAGCATAGAAAAAACAGATGTAGAAAAATAATTTGGTATACGCCCCCATACAACCAAATGGTACAGAACAAATTAGGACAAAAATTCCTCGCATTAATAGTCAAGCTTTTTCCTAGTGAAAGTAAACTAAGTACTATTTTCAATAAAAACACACTAAAATTGAGTTACAACTGTACGGAAAACTTAGAAAAAATTATTAAGAAACATAATGCTAATATCTTAAATAAACACTTATATCAAAACCAAAAAAAAATTAGACAATGGAAAAATAAAAATAAAAACTGATGAGGATAAACAAAAATTATGTAACTGTAGAAACCCTCATAATTGCCCTCTATAAAATAAATGTCGCACAGAATCATTAATATACCAATGCAATATCTCTTCGATTGAAAATCCTGAAAAAATATAAATATATATAAGTTGCACTAGCCATGAGTTCAAAAAAAGATTCAACCATCATCAAAGTTCATTTAGGATAAATAAATATAAAGATCAAACATCTCTCTCGAAGTACTTCTGGCACCTAAAAGAATCAAATAAAACATATTATTTATAAAACTTGAAAAACGAATACATTACTTCTTAAAATTCTCGATACTATCATTGATTTTCTCACTGACTGAGGAAAAATTATTTTTCTTAATTCTTTCAATGGTGAAAAAGAAAACGGATATAGGGATTTTTCCATACACAAAAATAACGACAATTCTTTAAGCGAACCATGGAAAAGGATTCTTAATGTGAAATTGAAAGGGAATTAAATTGTTTATTTACAATGTGAAAAGAAATATGGGTTTAGAGGTTGCACAAATATCTTTTTGAGCGCCTAAAAATATTGAGTTAGGTAGAGAAATATGCGAGGACTTATTGTCGAAACAAAACTTGTCAATGAAGTTCAAGAAGTGCTCTAACTGTCCATTAAAGAGGGAATGTAAAGTTGTCAATCTTCTTTCAGCCTTTTGGAAGTTAGAAGTTTGACAAAGTACCAACGGTATCCATTTGATGAATTGAAATATTTGCAGAATGATTGACGCTTATGGAAGAATTTCTTGTAGAATGATAAATTGAAAGATGGGATTTAACTTCGTATAATTAAAGAATAGATGATCTCGTTGTATGCGTTTTTTCAGATGAACATGCTGTTATATTAAGCGTTTTGTAGAGAGAGAAAGGGATAATGAGGATTAGAGTGAAACAAAGTTTATTGTTGGTAGAGAGTACAGAAATAGAGATCGAGTGTACTGTAGTGTCGGGAGTTAAACCATTTGTTATGCCAGCGTGGCCGAGGGCACAGGATACGGTTGACACACATTTGATTGATGCAGGCCACGGTTGTAGGTCATCTTGTCGGTTGGTCGACCTGTTGTGATAAAAGGAGGTTACGTCGGATTGGTGTGGTCTTGTAAGCCCTGTTCTGAGGAACGGAGGCTGCTTGAAGGGAATGCCTTGAAAGCGAGTCG